AAAGTTACGTGATCCACATCATCTGCAGGTAGCACTATGATCAATATGAGTTTATGTTTATACTACAGCAGCATTGTTACCACTGTGCGTAACAACGTGAGCACAATTCATACATACGCCTGTGCTGGTTACTGAAACAATACATGTTCTATTGGTATAAATATATTTCAGAGAATCAAAATCCACTAAAGTTTTAAATGTATGTTAAGTATGTTGAGACATCTCAGGTTTTGTCCTAGTTTCTTTATACAAATGTAAAAATGCTAATGCATAAAAATGTACAATTCTTATTGCAAACAGAAACTGTATCATATATCTGCTTACATTTCATCCCATATGCACACATGCACACCTATCATTTTAATGTACTTACACATCCAGAGATAGTACATCATCTTGCAGACTCTCTGGTACTCTGGGGGGATTTCCTCTGAGAAGTCCTGATAGAAACAAGGTTTGATGGGGAAGAACTTTGGAAGTGGAGGCCAGTTGTTCGCTTTACCTGTCAGGACAAGAGACACAACATCTACCCTGTTAGATGAAAGAGCTGGACTCCCAAACACAATTTAACCTCAGGAAAAGGGCCAAACAAGACATGGTGTATATACAATAATCTCCTGTAAGTAAATCTTAACAACAGGGAATCGGTGGTTATTTTTAAAGTGTTGACACGTTCATAACAGACAAAGACTTCACATTCAAGAAAGGCAGTTTCACTTTAGAACACATTTTAAAATTAAATACACATTTATCAAGTGTGTTAGGAGTCAATATTGCACTGGCACTCCAACTCAAATTTCAGCATGTGACTAAAAATCACAAATATTATACTGAGAGGAATGTATGAGGAATATACTATATTGAACAGAACAGCAATAACATAACAGGCAGGCAAACATTAACACATTCAAATTATTTTTTCTATTGATCAAAATGTTCATAAGTAAGTTAAAATTGTCCATCTTACATTTAAAGAAAAACATATAAGTTACTTAAAGTCTTTAAATATAAGTAACTTTAAAACACAATGTTTTAATGATTTGTTGATCAATAATGTGTGTTTAATTGACCAATTGATTCAGCACAATAGCGACGTAAACAAACAGGGAGGCCTTAGTTTTTTGTAAATATAAATTCAAGCTGAAAGGTGACACCAAGAGCATGGGCGCGCGAGTTGGTTAGTCTCCCGCCGGGTGCGTGCGCGCCGCCGCGCGCCCGGGCCCGCGGCCTGTTGTCCGTCGCGCGTGCTCTTTTTTTTGGGGGTGGCGTGCCGGCGGCCGTGCGGGCGTGCTGCTTGCGGGCTGATCTAGAACTGCAGAGAGAGAGAGCGAGCCGAGAGCGAGAGGAGAGGAGAGGAGAGGATTTGTCTTTAATGACCTGTCGGGCCTCTGCTCTGTAGCTCCTGCTCTCTGCGGTCCAACTCGGCAGCTTTTCTCTCCAGCTCCTCCTGCTGCCTCAGCAGATTGGCCTGAGCTGCAGCAGCAGTCGCCTGAAAAAAGAGAGTCAGAAACTTTACTCAACCAACGTATTGAATGTACAGGAGTTTCATATGTATACAAATGGTGCAGATACAACGAGACCATGCTCACACTGCAAGGAAACAATGCAACATTTGTCAAACACATATCAGCCTGTATTATATTTTATATATAACATCTAAGGTAGGGGTGACCACTATAAACTGTTACAGAAGCTAAATGTAGACGTCAACCCTTCTGTGTTAATGAAGGCATACATGATACTTTATGGTCCAAAAAACATATTTATGATTGTAGCGGATGTCTGACTTGGCAGAAAAAAGGACACAGGTGATCTGTAGTGTAATTCATGAATATTTATGAGATCAGCAGTGGAACAAGGA